TTCAATGCCTCTGTTTTCTTAGCCAATTCTTCGTAAAGTGCGATACCATCGGGTCCGTGAGCACAGGTCTCGATAGTATCCCAATAGTCTCCACCCATTTCCTGGTTGAGACACTGGTTGGCGTCGTCCACCGGATCAGAGGTACTCTTTTCGAAGGCACAGATCAGGAATCCAAGAGTTCGGTAACGACTTTCGTCTAAGTCCATAACATTTGAATGATCCAGTTTTTCCCAGAAATTGTGGTAAACACACGCCTTTAGTTTAAATGAAAAGCAATGAATTCACTAAATGTAACAAGGTTGAGTTATATTTACATGAACTTTGTTGGCGTTACACTGGGCCTCATTTTGAGGACATTTAAATCCAGTTCCGTCTCTTTCTGTGAGACCATAAGCAACAAAATCAATAGAAGCCAGCTCCTCAAAGTATGGCCGATAGGGTTTGATTTGTTTGTCCACAAACTCGGCAACCGATGTCTCCATGTTTTGGTAATTAATAGAAACGGACAGTAATTCGGGAATACATTGCAAAGGCTTATCAGTCTATAGTACAATATAATAATAAAATATAATCAATCAAGTCAATAAATGAGAACAGTTAAAATTGATACTAACAGGGTAAAATGTTTCACAAATCTCTTGCACGAGATTGTCCTCCGCCTCTACATCGTGTTTGCCATTCACCAAAATCCAAGGAGTATGAGACAACTTCGGGTTCAATGCGGCCACAATAGCCGCCAATTCAGCCAACAGTTGGTCGCCCCTACTCTTGGCACACAGGTCTATATCAGTCCAACTGTCCACAAAGTGCTGATTCACGCATTCTTCGGTCACTTGCGGCACATTCGACATATCAGAGCCAAATGCACACAACAAAAAGTCTATTGTTTCCGTTGGCTTACTCTCGAGGAATAGTGTCCTAACACACGCCTGTATTTGTCATTAATTAAGAATATTGTTTAGAGACAATTCAAGTGACAATAAAACATGGTAACCGACGTGTTGTTTGAATGTATGGCATTCCTCATCATTAGGACACTGGAAGGTATTGTCGCTATTCTTAATGGTTCTNGTATGGCATTCCTCATCATTAGGACACTGGAAGGTATTGTCGCTATTCTTAATGGTTCTGCCGTAAGGAATAATATCCAAACGAATTATCTCATCCACGTGTGTCTTCAAGTGATCCAATTGAGAGATAATAAAAGTTTGAGAATCTTTGTTTAAGGGCTCGTAATGTAACTCCACGATTGGTTTTTGGAGGGCCGGTGGGGGTGCATAACAGGCCCATGGCTTCCATTTACCCTTTAATTACAAATAATTTTTAATTTACGAATCGATAAAAACCGACAAATAATACCTCATAAGAGTCACAAACGGCTCGACTTAAGTGCACTTCAGATGCCTGACTGTGTTTGCCTTCGATGATAATCCATGGCGTGTATCTAAGGGGTGGTATGAGAGCCGCCACCTTCTCCTGTTGCTGTGCGAAGTAGGCGTCGTCTAATTGGACGCATTCATTGATTTGTGTCCACTCGTCCACAAATACTTGATTAACGCACTGTTCGCCCGCTTTTATCGGGTCAGACGGCCAGCTCTCGTGAGAGAAATAGCAGTTTATGAAGAGTAATGTCTGTAGCTTTCCGTCATAGTCTATGTTGTCGCCGATGGGGT